ATAGGCCATGTGCCACCATGCCCAGCTAATTTTTTCTATATATATTAGTTGGCCCATTAATTTCTTTCTATTTATAGTAGAGATGGGGTCTTGCTCTTGCTCAGGCTGGTTTCCAACTCCTGACCTCGAGTAATCCGCCCATCTCGGCCTCCCAGAGTGTTAGGATTATAGGCGTGAGCCACCGCACCCAGCCCTCCTTTGTTAACAACAACAAAAATTGTTCTGACTTCTATGCTAATAAGGCAGTCATTTATTCTGGTTGACTAAGTCCCTAGAGTTAGACGGTATGTCCCTGACACTCAAAACGGCTTGAAGAATCCATCTTGGGTCATTATTTTTCCACTAGTTTTTAAGAAGAAACATGCACAAACTACCATTTGTGCTAACACAGCCAGGAAAATCAACTCATCACATGGAGCCGTAAGTATTTCCGAGATAAAGAAAACATTTTGGTTTACCCTCACTTTTTCCTTTTTTGGAATGCAAATTTATACTGGTTGAGTGTCCCAAATCCAAAAGTCTAAAATCCAAAATGCTCCAAAATCCAAAACTTGTAAAAATGTTTTTAATTTTTAATTTTTTTTAGAGATAGGGTCTTGCTATATTACCTGGAATGGCCTTGAACTCCTGGGCTCAAGTGATTCTCCCACTTCAGCCTCCTGAGTAGCTGGGACTAGAGACATATGCCACCTTGCCTGGCACAAATCTAAAACTTTCTGAGCGCCCAAAAGACGCTCAAAGGAAGTGCTCATTGGAGCATTTCAGATTTTGGATTTTTGAATTTGGGATGCTTAACTGCTAAATGTGAATATTCCAAAATCTGAAATACTTCTGGTCCCAAGCATTTTGGATATTCAACTTGTAAATGCTGAACTGCTGAATGCAATTACAATAGGACGACTTAGGTCCCTTCATAAATAATTGTCACTTATCAGTCTTATGAAGGAGAAGAACTGCTATTACTGAAAAGTACAGACAGGACTACTATACATTTAATAAATTTGGATTTTGTAGGATAAGAGATTCCTTAGAAACTAGCCAGCTAAAAGGGTAATTTATCATGATATTTCCAACCCTTTCTAAACTTCAGCATTGTGGTGGATGTCATTAAAACAAAAGGGCTGAAAAACACTTCTCTATCTTGTTTCCACTAACAGATACAGGACAAAGGTTATTCACATTCTCATGGTGTAAGGTTCTTGATATGCTAGCTCTTCTCCATTCCTTTTCTTTCCACTCCAGAAAGCACACCAGAAGGCCACTGAGTGATGCCACCGTAAGGATAACCTTGAGTCCAGTCCAACAGTCAATTAGTCACACCATGGGGATATTCAGCCTATTCTCATATCTCACACCTGAGCACAACACACTTTTGTGTCAACACCATTTCTGAGGATCCCTCATTCATTTAGTTCCTTACCTTTAGTCAGGCCCAAGATTCTCATTTGCATTCAGTTTCATATATTTATTCAATTTATTTACATAATGAGTAGAAAGGCGATTTTAAAAATATTTATTACATTCGGTTCTAGAAATAATTAAAATTGGTACAATTATGTTATACAACTTTGGAAAGGCATATTTACCCTTTCACCCAGAGAAAAGTTTTATGCAATGCCAGAAATGGAAATACCTACGCCGTTGGTGACAAAGGGCAAACGCTGTGGATAGAAGGAGCCCTTGTAAATTTTTAGGTTTCTTCTCTGCCATTATTTTTAAGCAAATCCTAGTCCAGAGAAAAGAGTTCTGAACATAAAGGCACCTAGAGTAAAAATCAGATCTTAACTAACACAAACAGCTACACATGTTTACACCAAGGAAAAAAAGCCCTATCAAAGCAACTCTCCTGCAAGGCAATGATAATGTAAATGAAAAAGCCATTGCAACTAAAAAGTCTATAAAGGCTTTCCTGAATCTGATATGTGAACTGGATAATGACAATTACTTTTCTGTTTATAAACCTGTAGATGTTTTATAATTTAAATCAGCACGGGTGCTATCTTTATATTCATAGGTGGGGCTCTCAAAGTATTTATCCATAGTCAAGATTTGTTTTGTTGCATCTGCTCTTAAAATGCATTGTTGTATATATTCCATTAATGGATATGTTAAAAATTCCTGCTGTCTTTCAAGAATGTAGAAAAACCTAGAACTCCTACTTTATTTATTTATTTATTTTTTATTTTGAGACAGAGTCTCGCTTTGTTGCCCAGGCTAGAGTGAGTGCCATGGCGTCAGCCTAGCTCACAGCAACCTCAAACTCCTGGGCTCAAGCAATCCTACTGCCTCAGCCTCCTGAGTAGCTGGAACTATAGGCATGTGCCACCATGCCTGGCTAATTTTTTCTATATATATTAGGTGGCCAGCTAATTTCTTTTTATTTATAGTAGAGACAGGGTCTCGCTCTTGCTCAGGCTGGTTTTGAACTCCTGACCTAGAGCTATCCGCCCGCCTGGGCCTCCCAGAGTGGTAGGTTTACAGGCGTGAGCCACTGCGCCTGCCTAGAACTGCTACTTTAAACCAAAGTCCTCTTTTATCATTACAAAGCCAGAAAAGGTGACATTTATTTTACCATGATTTAAGCACCTGAAGTATATTCTGACCAATTTATATTTTGTAAGCTAAAATCAGGATCTTCAAAATTTGTGTAGGTGTACAAATATTGCAAATTATTTCTTTAAGCTAATAAAAAATTTTTAAAAATACAAATAATCTTTTACTACAAAGATTCAAAATCCACATATGGGCCTGTACTAAGAGAAAAATGAACAAGAAGCGAGTAGGCAAACATTGTCTGTACTTTCTAATCTGTGGACAAGGTACCAATCAACGGAGCCAGGTTGTATTCAGCTGGGTCTGGTTCTTGATGCTGGTATCCATTTTTAGCACTTCTCGAATGGCCATGGTAGCATACGTGGAAGGAGGAAGAGAAAAATCCATTTTCAGAGCCCTGTATTTGCCTTCTGCCAGGCAAGAAAGAAGAGAATGGTCAGAAAATGAAGGCAGCTGCAGACAGACTGGAGAAGAGTCATATAATCTCTATACAAATACAAAGAACTGTGCTCCTTTCTTTAGGCTCCATTTCCCAAGGGGCCTCAGAGAATGTAACCATGGAAGTAAGAGATCTGTGAGCGTATGAACCAACTGAACGGTATGGTAATTCTACCCTGGAACCTTCATAAAAGGGCAAGTGACAAAGAGAGCACAAGAGAGAAGTGCATGTGAAGTTTAAAAAAATAAATTAGGGCACAGAGAGAAACAGAAAAAGGAATAATAAGAAGAATTTGACAATGACAATGCAAATTTAATTTTTCAGATTCTCTTCCTGAATTTTCACTCGCCTTTGTTAACCCTGTAGGGGATGGGGAGGAAATAATCAGTCACCTAATATCAAAACCATCTATCACGTTCATTCATTTTCAGGGAGATTTGCTATTTTAGTTAAGCCCTTCATCTATAATCATAAAAGTAAGGCAAGAAAACACAAAATGTAAATCATAGTGGGTGGTGGTGGTGATTATCAGATCAGACCTTAAAAAAAACTGTATTTTTTTATGAGAAAACATTTCAAAGGTGACACAGAGCTGATGACTGAGTAAACTTACCTGAAGCAAAAACTGGTGGTGGTTTCCCTTCTAGGTTGTCTACATCTGTATTGAAAAGTGGAATTTTGGGATCATCATATGCAACGACTTCCCTTCAAAACACAAAGTATGAATATGAGCTTTCATAAAAGGTATGAAGCTACTCATTACCATTTGTTTGGTAAGAAAAACACATAGACCAGGTACGGGTGGCTCTGAAATCCCTAGTACTTTGGGAGGCCAAGGCGGGAGGATGGCTTGAGGCCAGGAGTTCGAGTTCAGCCTGGGCAACATAGCAAGAACTCATCTCTACAAAAAAATACACAACTTAACAGGGTGTGGCGGTGTGTACCTGTAGTCCCAGCTACTGAGGAGGCTAAGATAAGAGGATTGCTTGAGCCCAAGAGTTTGAGGCTGCAGTGACCTACAATGCTGCTGAGCAAGAGTGAGACCTTGTACCCCTGCAGTCCCTAATCTAAGGGCTGTGGCCTGGTACCAGTCCAAGGCCTGCTAGGAACTGAGGCTACACAGTAGGAGATGAATGGCTGACAAAGCTTCCTCTGTATTTACAGCCACTCCCCCTTCTCTGGCATCACTGCCACCTCCCTACCACTCCACCCTGTCTGTGGAAAAATTGTATTCCGTGAAACTGATTCCTGGTAGGGACCTCTGCTGTACCCCACTCCCCCACCCCCCCAAAAACCCCAAATAGATCTATTGTAAATAATTGGTAGGACTCTTCAAAGTCAGAATAGGGACAGATTTTATATATGTGTTTTGCCTTTATATTATTATATAGCAGATGACAGATGATGCCAGCCTATTAAAAGACATAATAACCAAATAAAGCTTTAGATAATACTGGGTATTGAAATAATTTTTTTATTTTTTTTTTGAGATAGAGTCTCATTTTGTTGTCCAGGCTAGAGTGAGTACTGTGGTGTCAGCCTAGTTCACAGCAACCTTAATCTCCTGGGCTCAAACGATCCTACTGCCTCAGCCTCCCAAGTAGCTGGGACTACAGGCATGCGCCACCATGCCTAGGTAATTTTTTATATATATATTTTAGTTGGTCAATTAATTTCTTTCTATTCTTAGTAGAGATTAGAGATGGGGTCTCGCTCTTGCTCAGGCTTGTTTCGAACTCCTGACCTCGAGCGATCTGTTCACCTTGACCTCCCAGAGTGCTAGGATTACAGGTGTGAGCCACCAAGCCCGGCCTGGGTATTAAAATATTTTTAAATGAATTAACACAAATATCTTTTTCTCTATAGAAACATGACATTGAAAAAACCAGATTAGTGTTTGGAACTCATAGCTAAATACTGAGTAAGGTAACTTGCTCAGGGATAGTGCTCTAAGGAATCTCAGGTTTCTATAAATAGGGAAAAGGTTCATTCTCTACATATTTCTTCAATAATTCAGTGATGCTAACAAAATGTAAATGAAGTTACTTTCACTATATGTTTGCATTCAAAACAACTTCATTTATTTCTGGATGATTTGAAAAATACCAAATAGTAGCTATAGTGATAATAATAGTAATAATAACAATAACACTTATGAAATACTTATATGCTGGATTCTAAGCACTGAAAAATACAGTCATGTATCCCTTAACAATGGGGCATACGTTCTGAGAAATGTATCATTAGGCAATTCTGTCATTGTGCAAACACCATAGAGTGTGCTTACACAAACCTAGATGATGCAGTTTACCACACACCTGGGCTGCATGGTATAGCCTACTGCTCCTAGGCTACAAACCTGTACAGCATGTCACTGTACTGAATACTGCAGGCAACTGTAACACAACGGTAAATATTTGTGTATCTAAACATAGACAGAAAAGGCACAGCAAAAATACAGTATAATCTTATGGGACCACTATCATACACATTGTCTATTGTGGACTGAAAGTTTGTTATATGGTACATGACTATTTATGTGAAGCAAAAGCTTACAACCTTGTATGGTAGGCTGTCAGACAGCTGGATGGCCACACGTAAGAGCTGTGCACAGACACACCCATGTGGGAAAGGAGCCACCCTGCATGCTCCCAGCATGGGAAGGGACAGAGATTCCCTGGAGGTTCCCAATGTGATGGTGCAAATTCAGTGACTGGATTCTACTTTTCTATAACAAGCCATTTTTGTAAATAATGTATGATATCAACCTTTTATTTAAAATGAATATTTAATAATTTTTAAAAATCATATATGGTAATTCAGTTCTACCTCATTCCAGACTATTACTCACCAGCTAACATTCTGAGGACGAATAATGATCTTTCGGTAGGCCCCTGATAGGGAATAATCTCGAATTTTGTGTCTCATGTTGTCAATATCAAGATTGTCTGCTGTGAGCATTTCCCTGTAGGCATCTCTAACTAATATAAAATACAGAAAGTTAGTTGGAATGCAGCCTATCAACAAGTTACCCTAAAGAAGACCACAAATAGAGTAACCTGTACATTCAGTTTAGATCATCCTAATTTATAATCCAAAGTCTATTCTTTGGAATCAAAACTGAGAGACTTAGCAACTAGGACCAGAAGGCGCCTCCAGCTTTGGTTTGGCCAATGTGTAATTTATCTTTGCAACCAGCCACAGTACCTATGGTGTAGGGTTCTGAGGCTATAAAAGGCCATTTTATCCAAAGTTGCTAAACTACAATTTATATGTGCTCAGAGTTGGAAGACATCATACACAGAGGCTTCAAACTCTCTCTGGAAGAGGTAGTTATATATAAATGTATAAAAATAAGAGACCTTGAAAAACCATCTGGCTCACCCTCGCACCTGATGTAGAATCTTTTTTGTAACACTCAAGAAATACAGTTTTCCAGCCTCTGCTTGCATGTTGTCATTAAGGAGGAAGTACTGCTTTGTGAGGTATGCAATTATTAAATTCTTCCTATTCCAAGCTGAAATCCATTGTCTTATAACTTTTGTTGATGGCTTTGCAACATAGCAGGTTAACTGTCCTCTTCCACATCCATTCCTAAGTATCCGACCTTTCAGCCATATAGTCTCTAGACCAAAAATGCTTCCCTTGATTACCCCTCTTTGACATTTCTGAATTCTCTTTATCTGCCTCAGGCTAATAGGCTTATGTTTAACAGTAACTGCAGATACTTTTTAACTTTTTATGTAGACTACTATCAAACTGGCCCTCTTCTGTCTGTCTGTTTGATCACTAGGCATAAATGTGAGAATTTGCATTTAACTCTATTTAACGCCTTCTGCAGTTTTTCTTAAAAAAACTTTTCTCATATAATTATTTTCTTTTACATTATTTGCAAATATAAGCAGATTTCCTTATTCAAATTATTCATAAAAAATGTGGAGAAGAACAGGATCAAAGAAAGACACCCTCACTACACACTAAGGACAATAAGGGATCCCTAAATCAAGCTTTATTGGATACTAAGTGTGCACATGTTACCTATCCAACCTGAAATATCACCCATCCAGTTTATGAGTCCCATATTTGGCTACAAGGTTTTCATTAACACCTTTGTCAAAAGCTTTGCTTAATTTAGGTTCTAATTGATCCTAGCCAAGTTCCTAATCCTCAGAGGTGTAAGAAGGGGGAAAGAATGTTTTTTCTTTCCTGTGAGGGTTGATTTTTTTTTTTTTTTTTGAGACAGAGTCTTGCTTTGTTGCCCAGGTGAGTCTCGAACTCCTGGGCTGCCTAGCTCACAGCAACCTCAGACTCCTGGGCTCACGCAATCCTTCTGCCGCAGCCTCCCAAGTAGCTGGGACTACAGGCATGCGCCACCATGTCCGGCTGATTTTTTCTATATATATATATATATTCTTTTTCACTGACTAGGACACAATGCACAGAAGACTCTCTATATATTAATTGGCCAATTAATTTCTTTCTATTTATAGTAGAGATGGGGTCTCGCTTTCGCTCAGGCTGGTTTCGAACTCCTGATCTTGAGCAATCCACCCGCCTTGGCCTCCCAGAGTGCTAGGATTACAGGCGTGAGCCACCGCGTCCGGCCCCGTGAGGGTTGATTTTGGGTGTCAACTGGCTTAAGTACTCAGATAATGGGTAAGACATTATTTATTCTCAAGCATTCCTCTTCTGCTGAAATGCCACGTGGTCTGGCATTATATGAGAATGAACGCACTGCATTAGGTGTGTCCGTGAGGGCGTTTCCGAGGAGACTGGAATGAGTTGGTGGACTGAGTGGGGAAGCTCTACCCTCAATGTGGGCAGGCACTAGCTAATAGGCTGGGTGCCTGGATGGAACAAAAAGTAGAATGGCAAATTCTTTCCCTTTCTCCCACAGCAGGGATGTCCTTCCTCTGCCTTAGGACGTCAGAATTGCAGGTTATCTGGCCTACAGACTCTGGGACTTGTGCCAGCGGCTCCCCTCTCTCCAGGTTCTCAAGACTTCAGCCTCAGACTGACAGTTACACCACTGGCTTCCCTGGTGCTGAGGCCTTCGGATGAGGAGGACTGAGCCAAGCTACCAACTTTCCTGGTTCCCCAGCTTGCAGACAGGCCGTCGTGGGACTTCTCAGCCTCCACAATCAAGTGAGCCAACTCCCCTAATAAATCCCTTTTCATCTCTAAATATTCTTGGTTCTGTCTCTCTGGGGAACCCTGACCAAAACAGAGAGGAAATGCGGCTTTTAGCTTCTTAGTGCCTTCCTTCTCACTTGTTCCTAGTACTGCTCTCCTTGGTTTCTACCCAGGTTAGGCACATCACAGCCCTCCTTTATCTACCTTATTCATTCTCCTCTCCATCCCTCAACTCCTTTCCCCTCAGTGAAGACAAACACATATAAGTGTAGCAATTTGATTCAATTAATCAATATATAAATGACAGATTTACTATTAAACCCTTCTAGAAATATTTACATTATCCAAGAAGGGCATTAATCCTAATCATTCTCTAATTCATAAAATTTCAAGGAATATAACATTGAAATGTAAAATAATTCTGGCTTCTTGAGAAAAAAGATATTTTAACAGGAAAATACCGCATATAGTCCAGTCCTGGCTAGGAGGAAACTTCTAGGGTCAGTCCCATTAAATTGCTCCTATGGACAGATCTGCTTTCTTTTCTCAGCACAAGGCCTGACCCGTGAACATATATCGGAAGGGACTGTCTCCGAGGTCCCTTAGAGCAGCCCATACAAGCAACAGGCTGCATACACTACCAAGGAGGCTGCTGTTTGCAGCCACTGCACACCGGGCCCCCATGAGGAAAGGAGCACGGTCGGCTTAATTGGTTGCAGGACAACTTATACATGTTTGAAATCTAAATACCTTTTTAAGTCTGATGAAAATAAAGTTTTAAAGTTATATTTAAAGTACTGATTTTTTTTCCTTTCTCCACTCTTGGCTGCCAGTGGCTTAATTATGTTAAATCTGTTTTAACTATTTTCCCCTACAAGGAACTTACTTTTATGTTTTGGGTAGACAACATCGAAACCAGGCAAGGGCATTACCACGTCATGGATGGAGTAATTATTAATATCATCTTCCTCAATATAGGTGGCCGTGGCTACAAATTCACAAGTAAACAATAAATGAAGAAAAATCAAGAAAATTGGCAATATGCATGAGCTCAATCTTCTAAAATTATACACACCTAAGCAAATCAGAAGCAAGTCCTAAGTTGATACAGGTTCAGTGGCCTTGGTAGCTTAAAGAAATTAAGTTAGGATACACACCCTTCTGTCCTTTCTACTCTACCCAAGAAATAAAAATCAAGAATTTAGAAAAAGTAGAATTTTTTGTTTTTTAGACACAGGGTCTCTGTTGCCCAGGTTGGAATGCAGTGAAATGATCATAGCTCACTGTAACCTCAAATTCCTGGACTCATACAATCGTCTCACCTCAACCTCCTGAAAAAATAGAATTTGTAGTGAAAATTTAAAAATATTTATCTTTCAGCTGTATACTCATTTTTTTGGAATGCCTGTTTTTTTTTTTTGAGACAGAGTCTCGGTTTGTTGCTCAGGCTAGAGTGAGTGCCGTGGCGTCAGCCTAGCTCACAGCAACCTCAAAATCCTGGGCTCAAGCAATCCAACTGCCTCAGCCTCCTAAGTGGCTAGGACTATAGGTATGTGCCACCACGCCCTACTTATTTTTTCTATATATATTAGTTAGCCAATTAATTTCTTTCTATTTATAGTAGAGACAGGGTCTTGCTCTTGCTCAGGCTGGTTTCAAACTCCTGAACTCGAGCAATCCACCCGCCTCAGCCTCCTAGAGTGCTAGGATTACTGGCGTGAGCCACCGCGCCCGGCCAGGAATGCCTGCTTTTTAAAATCAGCTCCTTTAACCTTCTTAATACCATGAAAGACTATTTAAAAAGCCATTATACCATAAAATACTATTTGGAAAGCCATCATACATGAATACATTTTGCTAAAAGAAAAAATAATTTTAAAAAACCTGCCTGTATTTTGAAGGTAAAACATGGTGGCACACGGGATATTAAAAGAGGCCAGGCACGGTGGCTCATGCCTGTAATCTCAGCACTTTGGGAGGCCAAGGCAGGAGGATCACTTGAGGTCAGTAGTTCAAGACCAGCCTGAGCAAGAACAAGACCTTGTCTCTCCAAAAAATAGAAAAATTAACCAGGTGTGGCGGTGCACACCTGTAGTCCCAGCTACTGGGGAGGCTGAGGCAAGAAGATGGCTTTAGCCCAGTAGTTTGAGGCTGCAGTGAGCTAAGATCACGCCATTGCACCCCAGATTGGGTGACAGAGTCAGATCCCGTCTCTAAAAAATTTTAAAAAAAGGTGTGTGTGTGTGTATATATATATGTACGTGTATATATATGTATACATATATATATATATATATATATATATATAAATTCTTAAAAATACACTGGATGTGATCAATATTGCCTGAGGAAAAATGTTAAATCAGAAAAAAACAATTAAAATTTCTGTACAAATTCAAAACCTTAATGGATGGGGTCTGCCTGCAGATAAGTAGGCTGTGTATTCAGCAAATAGCCAGGTATGCCAGAGAAACAAGACTTTGGAATTGGGCAGACATGACTCCAAATCCCAGCTCTTTTTTCTTTTTTATAAACCAGCTGTGGAATGGTGGGCAAGTGAATAAAACTCATCTGAAAAACAGAGAAAATGCTTCACACTAATACTGTCAGCTTTAAACTAGAAGATGCAGATAAAGGGCTTAGTGCCAAGGCCTGGCACACAGTGAGGGTTGCACGGCAGATGGGCTATTAGTGCTGTCTTATGAACATTTTGGGCACAGTACACACTAAACGCCCATTCTATCACGGCCCACATGTAAAGTTAGCTCCAGTCTGGTACTAACTTGAAGAAACTCTAATACAGGCTGACGACAGGCTGAGAGGCTGAAACACATCCAGAAGTATACATATTTGCTAGACCCAGATTAAAGTTTGGAAATGGTTTTAGCCATCATTTAGCCCAAATCCTATTCTAGTTGAGAAAAGGGAGGCCCAGAGTGAGTGAGTCAGGCACTACTCTAAACCAGATGTATATTTTTTTATTAAAGACACAAACTAGCCAGTCTGAACTTATGTGGACCTCCATCTAAAACTCACTAAACATCTCTCTTCGTTAACTAGTACCCAGACTGGATTGCAAAGCCACTAGTGTCAAGTAACTGACTCCTAGTTTGATTGAATAACAATACCATTTGCCTTTTTACCTCCTTTGAGCACAAGGTCTCCTGGAATAGGTTTCAATCCGTAGTCTTCTATCCTCTTGCTCACCATGTTATTCCACACATAGCTTTGATAGCTATGAATATACATTAAGCGATTATTTCTTGGTATCTGAAGGGAAGTAAAATAGGCAAGAAAAAAATATTCTGAATATAAAAAGTACTGTACTTTCCAAGATATCTTGCTTGTTTAGTAGTGATCCTAGTGTAAGAAACTTATACTTTAAATCTCTCATTTTACTAATAACCTATAGAAATCCTAATAACAAAATGTGGTATGTATGTGTGTGTGTACGCACGCACGCACGCACACACACACACACACACACATACACCCCATGGAGTACTACCCAGCCACAAAAAGAAATGAATTAATGTCTTTAGCAGCAATTTGGATAGAACTGGAAACCATCAGCCTAAGTGAAGTATCTCAAGAATGGAAACATGTACTCTCTAATAATGTGGAACTAATTGATGGACATATATGGGCACAGAAAGAAGTAAAAATCGTTGGAAATCAGAAAGGGCAGAGGTAGGAGGGAAGGGGTAAAAACCTACTTAATAGGTACAATGAATACTATTTGGGTGATGAGTACACTTATAGCCCTGACTAAAGCATCATAAAAGCTATTCTGGGAGGCTGAGGCAGGAGGATTACTTGAGGCCAGGAGTTCAAGACCTGAGCAAGATCAAGGCCCTGTCTATATTTTCTAAAAAAATTAAAAATAAAAAAAGCTATCCACATAAAAAAATGTGTACCTCCTTAATATTTTGAAGTAAATAAATAAAATAGTGACTGATACAGAGCATTAAATATTAGAGATAGAACCCCTGAAACTAAGGGGTATTATCAATACTAAGGGGTGTTATCAGTCATCAACAGCTGTAGCAGTTCACATTTTGTATTCACAATGCGCACAATCATGCCACTTAAAGCAAATGGTATGGATTTTATACTCTACATCAAAGACTGACTTAAAACCGAAGGAATTTACACATCAATTATAGAGCTAACAGTAGTTTCTCCCCAAAAGTTCTATGAAAGGAGAAAACCTAAATGATTGAACTGACAACTAATTTCACGCAGCAAGAATCCTGCTTTTTTGTACATCTAGGGGAAAGTAACTAAGACCTAAGTTTCGGGATACATTTTAAGGTATCCTGGATTATACATATCGAAATACTGGCACAGGCTACACTTAGCAACATGGTACCTACTCTTGAACCACCCTGATGAAACCAGACTAAAATGCAACTATTTAGACTGCTTATTGTCTAGCCCTCACACTAAGGCAGTTCAAGTTGTGGTGATGGTGAATGATGAAGAAATGACTGTACAGTAGATTCAGAATTTCTCAAATACCAAGAGACTGAACTTAAACTTCCTCTGGAGATCACATTTTCTACATTACTGTTTTTCTTGTGCCATCAATGTAAATAACACCACCATCTGTAGGGGACTGACATATATTTTCCTAGTTTAAGAATTAAAGTTAGTGAGTAATGTACATGCTCTCCCCAGAGCATTTAATATGTTTCGGACAAGGCCCCTGTTGCCTTGAGGCATAATAAAAACAAGGTGTTGCCTAGAGGCATAACAAGGGACCTGAGTTCCAAGTAAGCAAGAGCTACCCCACCCCACATCATTGGGGGTCTGGAGGCCACAAGATAAACACATTGTTCCTGTGATTGCTGCGTACACCCCATAAGATGGCTAGTTAATCAATGACTGGTAAGACCCCTCAAGGGAGGGTGACTTAAGCCAGGTACAGCCACTGGGGTTCAGCTGAAGATCTTAGGGGGGTCACTTTAAGAGAAGCTGGGGATGAGAAATGCCCCTGTGGTTTGCCTTGCCCATCCTTGCTAATCTCAGTCTGGTCCATGATCTATGCCTAGTGCCTAGAGCAACCACCTTGAAATTCTGAGCCAGGGGATATCTGCTTCCCTAAGGCTACGCATTCCGGAATTTATGGCTATCGCTGCCACACCTGGGTGGTTACATACAAGGAACTAACTTTAATCTTTTAGAGTATAGAAATAAAACTGACCCAGTGTATTATTACTCGAGTCAACCATCTGTATGTGTGTCTGCGTTTTTGTGTTCTGCGTTTGTGTTTTGTGTTGTGTTCATCTTCTGTCCTGCAAATGGGCCACGACACCCATCCACCCACTCATCACTATTCAGGGTGTGAACAAGGATCACTCAGGTAAAACACCTCTCAGCGATCACCAAAGGATCCTTATCTACCTTCTGGTCTTTCAAAATTCAGTAAAATCTTTCAAGATGAAATTTAGAAAACATTAAAACACCTCAAGTCATTGCCTGACTTCACAAATTGCACTCACTATGCCAAATGCAGAGACTATATTCTTCATTCCATATTTTGAAAGTCCTCGAAGCAGCTGCCCTTCCACACACCTTTTTACAGGTAGTTTTCTGAGGGCAGCGGCTGGGTCTTTGGTCTTCGCCCATTCTTCTCTGCATTTAACCAAGTACCCTTTTTCGGCTGGAGAGAAAAAACTATGATTAAATGATTTATCCAAAAGACAAATTTCCATAACTTAAAAGTACACATCATGGAGAAAATAAAATTAGGAAATGCTATTTGTAACATAGGTGCTATGAAGAGCTTCTGCTCACCTGAGAATAGCCATCAGAAAATGAAAAGATGGGAAATGTAGAAAGTTTACAAAACTATATGGCTTTGTCAACATGCTACCACTCCCAGGCCAACAATAAAAGCCATTTACTATTCATCATCCTAGTAGATTCAACAAAAACTTGATAGTCCTTCCTTCCTTCTCCTTTTCCATTGTATTATCAAATTTAATGGGTTACTTTCCTCAAAACTAGATAATTTTATCTTTTATTAGTTTGCAAATGAATAATTACCCTAAGTGTACATAATTATTTTGACAATTTGTAAAGTAATTAAATCCTTTTCATACAGTATATATATATATATATATATATATTTTTTTTTTTTTTTTTGGATACAGAATCTCACTTTGTTGCCCAGGCTAGAGTGAGTGCCATGGTGTCAGCCTAGCTCACAGCAACGTCAATCTCCTGGGCTCAAGTGATCCTCCTGCCTCAGCCTCCCAAGTAGCTGGGACTACAGGCATGCGCCACCATGCCTGGCTAATTTTTTGTATATATATTTTTAGTTGGTCAATTAATTTCTTTCTATTTTTAGTAGAGACAGGGTCTCACTCAGACTGGTTCTGAACTCCTGACCTTGAGTGATCCTCCCACCTTGGCCTCCCAGAGTGCTAGGATTACAGGTGTGAGCCACCGCGCCTGGCCATACAATATGGTTTTGGAGCTGGGATTACAGGTGAGCCAGTGTACACAGGGGAATTAATAAATTAGATGAGCTAAAGAGCTAAAACAGGATATAACTACTACATCTTAAATGCATACAAAAAAACTTGTGAAAAATACAAAGAAATAGCCATGGTTTTATGATAAAACAAAGAAAATTCTGAAATAACCCAATTTGCACATGTACTTCATTCAAAGCAATTCCATGAATACCTAGCCAAATATTCTCTTTGTTTTCTTAACATAAATTTCATCCTCACCTCCAGAACGGGGTTTCAATATTAAATCCATTACTTCTGTCCAGGAATTTTGTAGTATAGCCCTAAAATTAAACAGCATTTATTTCACTTAATTTTGCATTAAGAAAAACTTTATATGCACAAATCTTTGAAGAGTCAACAAACCATATTAACTTTATATTATTTTATTAAACTTAAAAGCAGAGAAACTAATATGCTACAGATTTCAAATGTAAAAGAAAAAGAACTTTAACTGATAACATTTAGTATCATATCACACTTTTAAAAGACTACAACAGTATAAACCTACTTAGTCATGCTTTAAGTGGTTATACAAAGTATTATCTATGTAAATCAGAGTTAAGTCTTTATGTGGCAAAACTTGTTTAAAACTTCTCAAAAAATTTCACCTTTATGTTAAATACCTTGTTGCTCAGGCAAATAGAATGCAATTTATCCTTCTTTATTATTCTTGCCAAAATGCAAATATCTTTATTTTTGATGATTATAAAAGTTATTACATGCTTGTTAAAAATTAAATAGTAGGCCGGGTGTGGTGGCTCACGCCTGTAATCCTAGCTCTCTGGGAGGCCGAGGCGGGTGGATTGCTCTAGGTCGGGAGTTTCAACCAGCCTGAGCAAGAGCAAGACCCGTTCTCTACTATAAATAGAAAGAAACTAATTGGCCAACTAATATATATAGAAAAATTAAGCCGGGCATGGTGGCGCATGCCTGTAGTCCCAGCTACTTGGGAGGCTGAGACTTAAGGATCGCTTGAGCCCAGGAGTTTGAGATTGCTGTGAGCTAGGCAGACGCCACGGCACTCACTCTAGCCTAGGCAACAAAGCGAGACTCTGTCTTAAAAAAAAAAAAAAAATTAAATAGTACTTAAGAAATGTTACCTGCTTTTCAATCTCTAAGAAATTAAACACTGCTAACACTTCAGAGTGTATTTGTGACTCTTTTGGTGCATCTGTAAGTGTATGTAATTTTTCCTTTAATGTTTATTTTACTATAGCCATGTAGAAGTTATTTTGTTCTTGGAGTCTGCTTAGAAAGGCCTTCCCTAACAAAAAAATATAGAAATCCCTTCTATTAATTTTTCTGTTATTCCAGTTAATTATGGTTTTAATTTTCACTTTTAAGTTAATTGATCCAAGATATTTCTGGATATTAAATTGTCTAAAATGGGCCGGGCGCAGTGGCTCATGCCTGTAGTCCTAGCTCTCTGGGAGGCTGAGGGGCGGATTGCTCAAGTTCAGGAGTTCGAAACCAGCCTGAGCAAGAGCAAGACCCCGTCTCTATTATAAATGGAAAGAAATTAATTGGCCAACTAAAATATATATAAAAAATTAGCTAGGCATGGTGACACATGCTTGTTAGTCCCAGCCTACTCGGAGGCTGAGGCAGGAGGATCGCTTGAGCCCAGGATTTGAGGTTGCTGTGAGCTGGTGACCCATGCACTCATTCTAGCCTGGGCAACAAATCGAGACTCTGTCTCAAAAAAAAAAAAAGAAAAGAAAAAAATTGTCTAAAATGCTGTTTGGTATCTACTGATGAGACTATGGATTTTCAATCCAATAATAAAATTACATTAATTGACTTCCTATTGCTGGCCATCCTTACACTAGGACAAACCATGTTAAATCAGTCATTAAATATATTCCTGGGATGATACATTATTTAGCTGGATAAGTCTTTAGCAACGTTTCCAAAAAAAGTGTAATATTAATTAACATAGTACTAGGTGTTGGTCTGCCAGATATAATGGAAATAGACCTCTATGCTCAAAAATCTTTGTTAAATGCCAACTGTGTCATACAAAACTACAATGCAGGCCGGGCGCCGCCAGTGGCTCACGCCTACAATCCTAGCACTCTGGGAGGCCGAGGCGGGAGGATCGCTCAAGGTCAGGGGTTCGAAACCAGCCTGAGCAAGAGCGAGACCCCGTCTCTATTAAAAATAGAAAGACATTAATTGGCCAACTAAAAACATATAGAAAAAATTAGCCGGGCATGGTGGCGCATGCCTGTAGTCCCAGCTACTTGGAAGGCTGAGGCAGAAGGATTGTTTGAGCCCAGGAGTTTGAGGTTGCTGTGAGCTAGGCTGATGCACAGCACTCTAGCCCGGGCAACAGAGTGAGACTCTGTCTCAAAAACAAAACAAAACAAAACAATACAATGCAGGCCAAATCTGGTTGGCCACCTGATTTTTGTAAATAAAGTTTTATTGGAAAACAGCAGTGCTCATTCATTTACATTTACATTACATTCATTGTCCATGGCTCCTTTTGCACTGTAACTCCAGGGCTGAGTAGCTGCAACAAACCCTGGATGGCCTACAATGCCTAAAATAGTTACTGTCCATTTACAGAAAAACTTTACCAACACCTGGTATAATATATTAAATAGTTTTCCAACTATATACCTTTGCAACTCAATACCTTGAAGATGCTACTATATACTGTGAAGGTTCAGTATATAAATATGCATAGATTTGGTTTACAATAGGTCATCCTATCTGGCACAATGCACATTAAGATGTTTTATACTTCCTTTTATTGTATTAAAATACACATATCATAAAATTTAGCCATTATTAAGTATATAGTCTGTGGCATTAAGCACATTTACACTATTGTGCAACCATGACCACCATCCATCTCCAGAACTTTTTAATCTTCCCCAACTAAAACTCTGTACCCGTTAAACAATATCTCCCTTTCCATACCTCCTCGAATGCCTGGCAACCACCATTCTACTTTCTATCACTTTGATTAACCTAGGAACCTCATTTGAGAGAAATCATACAGTATTTGCTACTTTATGACTGGTTTATGTCCGTTAACATAAAGTTTTCAAGGATTATTCATGTGTCAAAATTTTCTTATATTTAAAGGCTGACTTATATTTCTATTTTATGTATGTACTATGTATTTTTTTGATGGACACTTGAGTTGCTTCCACTGTTTGGCTATTGTGAATAATGCTATCATGAACATGAGTGCACAAGTATCTGTTTGAATTCCTGCTTTCATTTCTTTTGGATATATACCCAGAAGTGGAATTACTGGATCATAACATAATCTATATTTAATTTTTTAAAGAATCACCATACTGTTTTGTACAATGGTTGCCCCATTTTACATTCCCACCAGCAAAGCACAGGGTTCCAATTTCTCTACATCTTTCTTTACTAACACTTATTTTTTTTGATAACAGCCATCCTTATGGGTGTGAAATGATACCTCATTGTGGGTGGCTTTAAATTTTTGATAGATTTAGGGGTACAAGTGGTGAATTGTATCTCAAAGTTTTGTGGCACAATTATAGCTTGATGCAACCTCAAACTCCCAGGTTCAAGTGATCCTCTCATCTCAGCCTCCTCAGTAGCTAGGACTATAGGCACGAGCCACCAGGTTGGCTAAAGTTTTTTAAAAAAACTTTTTGTAGAGATGGCAACATATGCCTAGGCTGGTCTGGAACTCTTTGCCTTAAGCAACCCTCCCACCTAGGCCTCCCTAAGTACTGGGATTATAGGCATAAACCGCCATGACTGGCCTCAATTTTAGAACATTATTATTACTCTAAAAAGAAATTCTATCCCATCAGCAGTCACTCCAATTGGCCCTGTCCTTTCTTTTTAGATTTGCCTGTGTTGGACATTTCATATAAATGAATCAAACAATATATGGCGTTTTGTGATTGGCTACTTTCACTTAGCATAATGTTTTCATTCATGTTGCAGAATATATCCATACTTTATCCTCTTTTATTGCTAGATATTCCACTGTATACTAAATTTTGTTTATCCATTCATCAGTGGATGGACATTTGGATTGTTTCCACTTTCTTGGCTGCTATGAACATTTGTGTAGATTTTTGTGTGAACATAAGACTTTCAATTCTCGTTGGTATAGGCATGCAATTGCTTGGTCATGTGGTAACTCTATATTTAATCTTTAAACTTTTGGGGAACTACTAGGCTGTTTTCTAAAATGGCTGTACCTTCTAGTTATCTGGTCAATGGGTAAAAAAGAAAAAAATAAAAAATAATTGAAGAAAAAATATTATTAAAAAAATTAAAAAATAAATACATAAATAAATGGCTGTACCATTATACATTTCTACCAGCTATGTATGAAGGTTCCAACTTCTCTACAACCTTGTCAACACTTGTTATTGTCTATATTTTTCATTTTGGCCATCATAGTGGGTGTGAAGTGGTATCTCACTGTGGTTTTGATTTGCATTTTCTAATGATTAGTGATGCTAAGCATGTTTTTGTGTGCTTACTGGCCATTTATCTGTGTTCTTTAAAGACAGGTCTATTTAGATCCTATGCCTAGTTTTAGAATAGGTTTGTCATTGAATTGTAAGAGTTTTTAAAATCTTGGATACAAACCATTCTATTACCTTTAAACTATAAACTGAGGATTTGTTTCTTCCCTCTGGAGGGTCTATGGTGGTTAACAGTAGGTTTCTTCGAAAATAGGAAATATTCTTACAATGCAGAAATGAATGATTTATAATTTTAAATTCACTCTGTACTGTCATTTAGGTATGCTATAAAATTTTTCTTCCTGGATAATTTGATCTCATTTTAACTATTTCCTTTTTTTCTATTTTTTTAATTTTTATTCCCTGAATTCCTGTTTGTTATCGGTTTTGTTTAACTATTATCTTTGAAGTACAAAATTTACAGGGTCCCATGGCTGTCCTCCTACCAAATTACAAATTTATAGATTGATACAATCCTCTCTTAAATATTCTGTCCCTTAATATAATTACCTTCTTTTATTATCTTTATCAATGTTCTCTGACCATTAGCAAGGTTAAAAACATATTATTTTCGTCTTCTCTCCTCCTACCCTCTCCTCCCTAGATTTATCTTCTTAATAATTTTTTCTCTGGTTAGTATACTTGATTTTTTTTTTTTTTGAGACAGAGTCTCGCTTTGTTGCCCAGGCTAGAGTGAGTCGTGGTGTCAGCCTAGCTCACAGCAACCTCAAACTCCTGGGGTCAAATGATCCTCCTGCCTCAGCCTCCCGAGTAGGTGGGACTACAGGCATATGCCACCAGGCCCAGCTAATTTTTTCTATATATATTAGTTTCTTTCTATTTATAGTAGAGACAGGGTCTTGCTCTTGCTCAGGCTGGTTTCGGAACTCCTGACCTCAAGCAATCTTCCTGCCTCAGCCTCCCAGAGTGCTAGGAAGTATACTTTAATTTTAAAATATTACTTTCTACTTATTGAGTGCTTACTATATACCTAGGCATAGAAATAGGTGCTGTATAAACATTATCTTACTTCATTTTTATCACCCTATGAAGTTAGTATTATTACCTCCACTTTACAGATGAGTAATTTGAGGCTCAGAACTAAAGTCTGATTTCACCTGAGCCTTTAACCTTCTCGACACCACCTCAAAGAAGTAGAGAAAATACATGATAGATTTTATCATTTTGTGCTTTTAAAAATCTCACGAACAGGCTGGGCACGGTGGCTCACGCCTGTAATCCTAGCTCTCTGGGAGGCCGAGGCAGGCGGATTTGCTCGAGATCAGGAGTTCAAACCAGCCTTAGCAAGAGCGAGACCCCGTCTCTACTATAAATAGAAAGAAATTAATTGGCCAACTAATATATATAGAAAAATTTGCGGGCATGGTGGCAATGCCTGTAGTCCAGCTACTCGCGGAGGCTGAGGCAGGATTGCTTTGAGCCCAGGAGTTTGAGGTTGCCGTGAGCGGCTGGTCGACGCCAGGACTCACTCTAGCCTAGGCAACAAAGCGAGACTCTGTCTCAAAAAAAAAAAAAAAATCTCATGAATAAATTTCCTGTAGCTAGCTGCTGAAACAATGGACTGGATGGAAGTCAAGAAAACTCTATTCTCAGGACTACAGCTGACAAACTAGTGAATTCAGGCAGACCTCCCAAAGCCTAAGTTCCATCTTTGCTAAAATGAAGCATCTGAAACACAAGGAAGAACATGAACTCTCAGATCACTCCCAGCTCGTAACTACCACAGTTCTATTTCTCACATGAAAAACTGCTTTCCATAACACAGTCTCTGCTGGGCAGCAGGACTCCATAAGCAGGCTTATGAACGCAAGTATTTACCCATGAGATTCCTACGCTAACTTACCCTAGAGGGGTTTCTTAGTATCTAAAAGCGAATCAGCATTCTTAAAATAAATTCCACTTTGCTAATTATAAACTCTACCACTTTCTTTAAGGTGTGATGGAAGGGCTGATCAAAGTTTAATGAACTTGGTAACAGAGATTGTAAAATATATCATCTTTGGCGACTCTGAGTCTCACCTGAATTGACCACTGTTGGGTCTCTTACTGTGCCAAGACTGACCTGCTTTTTTTTTTTGTTTGTTTGTTTTTAATATAGAACCTCTGGATGGGCTATCAAGGGTGGGAGAAAAGCTTACTTTTCAGGTCATATCCTTTTGAACTCTGATTTTTTTTTTCCTTGTGCATACATTATCTTAAAATAAAAGCTATAAGACAAAGTGGTTCATTTGCCCCAGACATGAGGGAATCCGGAAATAACTAAAAACACTACCAAACACAAAACTACTTGTTAGAAGAGAGCTCTTTTAGATGAAAGTTAAGAAATTAAATACAAACCTTCCAACTTGATATGTAGGGACAGCTGTAGTTCCAAATCTTTGCATTCCATAGTAATTAATAAATCCTATCTCTTTCAGAGAGTTCATAGCCTGTTGTACTTGGTCATCAGTTCCTGTTATATTTCTGCAGGAGCCCAAATTATCCAGAAAAACAAAATTACAGTCAAACACATTCAGGGACACATATCATAAATGACTATGGCTTGGCTTCCATGTCTCTCCCTTGTAGCTTTCCCTCTACCTCTTTAGGGCTCTTATGTTTTATTGAAAAGAATTATGATAAAATATACATACCATTAATTTACCATTTTTAAGTATGCAATTCAGTGGTATTAAATACATTCACAGGCTGAGCATGGTCAAGCCCGCCTATAGTCCCAGCTACTTGGGAGGCTGAGGCAGGAGGATCACTTGAGTCTAGGAGTTTGAGGTTGCCATGAGCTATGATGATGCCATGGCACTCTAGCCCGGGCAATAGAGCCAGACCCCATCTCAATAAATCAAACAATTAATTAATCCACACTGTTGTGAAACCTTCCCACTATCTACTTCCTAACCCTTTTCATCTTCCCAAACTGAAACTCTGTACCCATTAAACAATAACTGTGCATTCCCCTCCCTACCCCCTTCCCTAGTAACCTCTATTCTACTTTTTGTGTCTATGAATTTTCCTATTCTAGGTATCTCACCTAAGTGGAATCATAGGCTCTTTGTCTTTTAACACAGTATTTGAAGAGGACAGTGTCTTTCCAAAGATTCTGCTACATTTTCAGAGGGGTGGGGTGTCAAATTCCCCCAGGGTCAGGCCTTGCTCTGCCTTCCCTTGCTGCCACTTGTGCCAGTAGCAGCTAACCTGGGCCTTGTTACCAACCGTCACAAATAGACTCAAGGTGACCCAGCCAGACCCTCCCTGGTCTGCCTTACTACCTGCAGTTCTTTACCTGAGAACAACAGTGAAGTGATTTCCTTGAAGCTCTCCCAATTTCAGAGGGTTTTTCTGATAGCTGAAATTCCCTAGCTTAAAGTTCATCAAGCACTTATTCAGGTGGGCGAGTCTTTGTGCAGTTATTCTTTGGGGAAAAAAAGTAGAAAGACAATCATGAGCTAGTGTCTGACTGAAATAGTCTTGGACACCTGACTACAAGAACAAGACGACACCACAGCCATGACCAATAGCAAAGAAAGGGTGCTGCAACACGTGGCACAGGCATCTTTCTCTTCTTTCTGGATCCTTCCTTCAGTGTAACAGCATGTGCTCCTGTTGGAATGATATAAGCCTAGCCATATTTTATATACATAAAGCCTTTTGTATTTATATACTGACGAGTAACACAATAATATCTGTGGAAAAGGGATGGAGACACAGAACAATATCATATAACTATAAAGAATGGCATCAAACATTTAAAAAAGGGGTAATCATATATATATATATTTTTTTTTAAACAGAGTCTTGCTCTGTTGCCTGGGCTAGAGTGCTGTGGCTTCAGCCTAGCTCATAGCAACCTCAAACTCTTGGGCACAAGTTATCCTTCTGCCTCAGCTCCCCGAGTAGCTGGGACTACAGGCATGTGCCACCATGCCTGGTTAATTTTTTCTATATACATTTTTAGTTGTTCAGCTAATTTCTTTCTATTTTTAGTAGAGACTGGGTCTCACTTTTGCTCAGGCAGGTCTCCAACTCCTGACCTTGAGCAATCCTCCTGCCTCAGCCTCCCAGAGTGCTAGGATTACAGGCATGAACCACCGCGCCTGGCCGATGTGTCAATCAGAAAAATACTGTAAACTCATTATAGAAAATTTGGAAAATAGAGAAAACTAGAGAGAAAGGAAAAGGAAATTCACAGATTCATCTCCTGAAAAAAAAATCTAACTTTTTTTGCTAACATCTAACTTTCTATTTCCTCCCATTCCTTTTTTAAACACATGTTAAAGATATATATATAGCTGGAATCTGGCCGGGTGCAGTGGCTCACGCCTGTAATCCTCCCACTGAGAAGCTGAGGCATGAGGATCACTTGAGGTCAGGAGTTTTGAGATCTGCCTGAGCAAAAGCAAGACCCCTATCTCTGCTAAAAATAGAAAAAATTAGCCGGATGTGGTGGCACGTGCCTGTAGTCTCAGCTACTCAGGAGGCTGAGGCAGGAGGATCACTTGAGCCCAGGAGTTTGAGGTTACTGTGGGCCAGACTGACGCCAAGGCACTCTAGCCCAGGTGACAAAGCGAGACTGTCTCAAAAAAAAAAAGGATATATAGCAGGAATCCTACCACAAATCTATTCCCTGCTATCATTTAATATAAATATTTCCTACACTATTACAAAATTTTCATTAAAAATTCCTTATCTTCTTCAATAGGAAGCATTTGTAAAAAAACATAGTACTGAAAAGCTTCTGTCTTATCTCTATCCCCGCTGTCCGCACTCACTGGCAAACAATGTTGAGTTTCTTGAACTTCCTTCCAGAAATATATTCTATATATATAAACATATGTGTATCTATTGTCTCCTTGCTTTTTTGGAAATTTCTTATGGGGAGGGGGTTAACCTTTATATACACACACAAACGTATATACACGTAGACACACAGAGAAAAATACACAAATCATAAATGTTCTGCTTGATGAATTTTCACAAAGTGAACACACCATTGTAATAATCACCCAGGTCCTCCTTTTCAAGAAACAAATTTTGGTACATTATAAATTGTTCAGCATCTTGCTTTTTTCACTTAAAAAGCCAAGTTAGAGATTTGCCTTCTCCATGCAGTATTTCTGAAGGTGCCCTGTTCTTTGTATAGCTGCACAGTATGGCAGCTGCCTTGCATGGATATGCTATCTTTTTTCTTTTTATTGAGACAGGGTCCTGCTCTGTCATCTGGGATGGAGTGCAGTGGTGTGATCATAGCTCACTGTAGCCTCAAACTCCTGGGCTCAAGTGATTCTCCTGTCTCAGCCTCACAAGTAGCTAGGACTATAGGCACATGCCACCAAGCCTGGCTATTTTTTCTATTTTTTATAGAGACAGGGTCTCACTCTTGTTCAGGCTGGTCACCAATTCTTGGCCTCAAGCAATTCTCCTAATTCAGGCTCCCAAAGTGCCAGGGTTATGGGTGTGAGCCACCATGCTCGGGTTTTTATCTGATCAGTCTTCTTTAGTAAACATTTAAATTGCTACCAATTTTTTGCTATTACAAAACAATTCTATAGCAAATATATATATATATATATATTTCTTTGTATACCTATATAGGTGTGGGATAAATCCCTAGAAGTGGAAGGGGTGAATTTAAAATTTTAAGCCCTGGGGCTGGGCAAGGTGGCTTACAGCTATAATCCTAGCACTTTGGGAGACCAAGGTGGGATGACTGCTTGTGTCTAGGAGTTCAAGACCAGCTTGGGCAACATAGTGAGATCCAGTCTCTGCAAAGAGTATAAGAATTATCTTAGCATAGCCGTGTATTTAAGATTGGCGCTGAGCTGTGACTACACCACTGCACTCCAGCCTGGGCAAAAGAGATTCATATCACATCACATCACATAACATAAAATAAAACAAAATAAAATTTTAACACCTGTTTCCCTCCAGAGAGCTTACACCAATTTATGCTCACACCATTAATAGCTAAGCACCTACTGTCTCATCTCTGAGTCTATCTCTTCCAACCCACAGCACAGTACAAACCTTTTTGAGCTTGCCAGTCTGATGGGTTAAAATGAGATTTTTATATTGGTTTTTATTTGCATCTTCTTGTGAGTGAGATGGAACATTTCTTCATGTATTGACTGTTACCTGCTTGTTCATTGTATTGCCTAGTGTTCTACTGAATTATTAAGATTTTTGGTTTTTTGGTGTAAACGATCCAAAGCTAAACAAAAAAAATTTTTTTTCTGATTTTATATATTAAGGATATCTACCCTGTATCACACATTTTGCAAATACTACCTCCCATTCCCCCAGGTTGTCAATTTATAATATTTTTCATTTTTAGAAAATTTCCCAACTTGATGTTGAAAAAATCCCAAGTTAGAGAAAAGCAGCAACAGATCTTCCCAGATTTACTTTATATATTTTTCTTTTTCTAAATATATGAACATACCCACCACTCCACCCCACAGCCACATCAAGGTAAAACTATATATTTTACTGAACTACTACTGAGTTAGTCACAGTTATCTGGTCACTTCACCCCTAATGCGAAGTGTACATCTCCTAAGAACAAGCAGTCTCTCGTGTAACCACGATGGTCTGCTCAGGAAGCCAAACATGTACTTAACACTACTATCTAATATGCTGTTCATATTCAAACTCACCCAATTACATCATTTTGGCATTCTGTTTTGTTTTGTAAGCTGCTTAAATTCAGGATCCAACTGAGGATCACATATTGCAGTTGTGACATCGGTCTGTTTGGTCTTCATTAAGCAATCTGTCTAGCCTTCTGTTTTTCATGACATATGTCTGACTTTTAGAAGAATACAAGCCAGCAGTTTTACATAATGTCTTTTAATTTGAATTTATCTGTTTGTTTTCTCATGATTAGACTCAGGTAAACATTTTGGTAGGAATATTCTTTAGGTGATGTGGCCTTTTTCAATGCATTATGTCAAAAGGCAATGATTGGCCAGGTACAGTGGCTCACGCCTGCAATCCTAGCGCTTTGGGAGGTGGGAGGATTGCTTGAGGCCTGGAGTTTGAGACCAGCCTGAGCAACACAGCAAGACCCTGTCTATAGAAATAATATAGAAAATTAGCTGGGCATGGTGGTGCATGCCTGTAGTCCCAGATACTTAGGAGGCTGAGGTAGGTGTATTGGTTGAGTTTGAGTTGACAGTGAGCTAGGATGATAGCACTGCACTCTAGCGGGGGCAAAAGAGCAAGACATCATCACACTAAAAAAAAAAGGCAATAATTCAGTTTGTACATCATTGATGACAATAGCTTTAATCATTTGATTAGGATGGTATTTATAAAATTTTTCTACTGTAAGAATATCTTTCCCTTTGTATTTAATTAGTAATCTGTGGGGGAATACTTTTAAAATTATGTAAAAATCCTGTTCCCCCATGGTCTTTCACCCAACTGTTTAGGTACCCTAGGATCATTGCTGCCTGAATCAATTATCACTATGTTGTTTGAGTTTTTCTATATTTGTTGGCATTCTTCTGTAAATAAGGAATATATAGAGAAATTTTAGTGCAATGCATAATTTCTTCTTTTTAAAATAGCTGTGGGAGTTAAAGTCATACTTAGAAAGTATATCCCAAAGATTTTGTTTTTAAAATCTGAAGTTTAAGCAGATAGTTGCATTTTTTATGTATACATTTTTGATCCACCTGGAATTTATTTAGCCTAGGGAACTGAGGTAGGTAGCCAACTTTATTTTTTCAGATGGTTACTCAGTTATCCCAACATTTTTGAGTCAACTATTTTTTTCTCCACTAATTTTAAATGCTACTTTGTATTCCTTTTTTTTTCTTGAGACAAAGTCTTGCTCTGTCTCCTGGGAGACAGTACAGTGGCATCATTATGGTTCACCACAACCTTAAAACTCTTGTGCTCCAGTGATCCTCCTGCCTCAGCCTCCTGAGTAGCTGGGACTATAGGCATGTGCCAACATACCCAGCTAATTTTTCTATTTTTTGTAGAGATGAGGTCTTCCTCTTGCTCTGGCTGGTCTTAAACTCCTGACCTCAAGCAATCCTCTCACCTTGGACTCCCAAAGTGCTAGGATTGCAGGCGTGAGTCACCACACCCAGCCTTAAATGCTACCTGAATATATACTAAATCCTTGAATGTATCTGGATATGTGATTATTCTACCTAGTCATGTGCCAATATCAAATTGCTTTAATTGCTATATTTTTATAACATGCTTTACTATCTACTAGGGCCAAACCCCCTTTATTTCTCAGAATTTTTATGGCTTGTTTTGTATCTTTTTTACACTGACTTTATGATCAGCTTGATTAGTTAAAAAATTTTACTAGTATTTTCATTAATAGTGGTATTAGTTTATATAATACATCTGTTCAGTAAGAGGCATATTGATATGTAAGTAAGAATAGGTTAA